CAAATAATGAGCGAGTCAAGTATGTGTATTTATGGGGAAGCAGCGAAGATATCAGAAATAATTAGAAGACTCCTTGCCGGAGTGGAAACATGCACAAATGAAATTCCTCCATGTTGCCCGATTCTATGATTAGAAATTTCTATTTCTGTTTTCCTTGTGGAAAGAAAAACATAAAGAAGCATTCCAACACCAATAAAACAATTACTTTCCAAACAGGCAATTCTGTGAGTTAACCCAACTATGTACAATGAATGCCCGCAAGAAATTCCATTAGAAACCATAGATTTAGTGACAACAAGCATTGGTCGTGAAACATAAAACTTCTTTGTCAGTTTAACACATCACGAGAGCTTCTGCTTGACTTTCGTTCTATTTGACTCTTTCCGTCCAACAAGGGGGTCAAACTTTTCTTCGAGTTTCCATTCGTTTTAGTTTTTATATGAAATTTCATGTTATTTCTGCATCTATGGTGTGACTACCATGACAACGTGTCTTAAAGGCTCGCAACTGTCAGTTGGTTTTCATTTGTGCAGCTTTGGCTGTGGTTTTACTGTTACTCACTGGAAATTCCCTCTTCCACATCTCTGACAATTTCAATTCCTTGCAAACCATCGGCTGATTCTCTCCCGTGTTCACTGACAGTTTCATTGTCTGAGTTTTACATTAAAACCAATCTTCGGTTTCGGGGCAGGCTATTTGACCCACAACTAGAAAACATGTGATTATCCCCCACTCGAGCCAATCCCCGATCCACCCACGGTGAACTATTGCCTTATGGGACCTGTGTTTCTCGACTCCTTTATTCATCCTATATTTTTCTTCACCACTCACTCCTCATCTCAATGTGATCCACGTGTTCATGCGTTTCTGTGCAGAAATATTCTTCCTTATATGTTTTGTTCTGCGAGTGGCAGCACTTGGTTGTAGACTCATCCTCAAAAGAAAGTGGCTCCACATCCAACACATTGAACCCGTTCATAATTTAAATGATTTCCATGTAGTTGCCTTCTGCTTCCATGTTACCATGAGAAAAGAAGCCCGGCCAGCTCAAACATTTCATATTGGTGTAATCTGCAACTGATCACCTTTATTTCAGGAGGTTAAGAAGTCACAATTGAACTGTTACGAACAAAAGAATTATGAACACGGGAGGTCAGTCGAAGTTGTGAACTCGTTCCACCATTCAATATGATCATGGATAATCATCTACCTTCATGTAACCATCCAGAAATATTACAAAAACAAAGCTGATTCAGTTGTTATTCAAAAAAAAGTCCAAACTGCTGACTACCCACAGCCTCTACCCTGTAAGACCACTTGACCATTGAATGTGCTTGAAAAACACCTCTCAATATTTCAACCTCATCTCTGACTGGAAATCCATATAAATTACCGAAGCCCTTTCACTCAAATATAAACATTCAATACCTTGCCTGCAGATCGAAGTTTTCATGTTTCTGTCTTAGGGTGGAAATATCGGAAAATAATGGCTTGTATAAAGGCAATTGGAATTAATACCAGCAGCAATATATCTGTGATAGTCGCCTGAAGCAGCATTTTTTTTTAACCTGAATAGCAATGTATCACACCCTGTTTTTTTCCTTCAAGTCGTGTTGTGTTGGATTCAGATATTTTATAATTAACCTGTTCAAAGATGCTATTACATGCCTCTGGATCAGGAGTGACTTGAACCCAGGCTTCCTAATGCAGATTTAGGGACACTATTGCTGTGTCACACGAGCTGTTTACGTTGGGATCAGTCTGTAGGTCACTAATTCAGATCATCCAGTTTCAGTTGAGATCGACTGTACAGCAGAGAGTGATAAAGAGAGCACGCAAGAATGATAGAGGACGAGAAAGAGAGAAATATTCCATGAAATAAGTGGAATCATAGAATTTCTTCACAAAAGGTATGATGTCTTGGATGAAGTGAAGAACTTAAATGAAGTCACTTCCCTGTTGACAGTCTGCTTTGGAGTTCTGATATTGATAATGTCTGCTCACAAACTCAGGCCTGCACTGCTTTTATCCAAACCGAAAATTACATTCGAAGACCTTACTTATAAAGCTGTTCTATTTTCTGTTTAACAGGCTTGAGGTGACACTGAAGTCAATAGAAACCGACAATGAACATTAACTGGAAATTCTGCAACATGGTGGGGTTCAGCGTCACTTCCCCACTGTGGCAGTCACAGCAGTCCAGAATCCACCTAAAAAAAAAACCATGATTATATTTCCCTAAATACTGCATTGCTTCAAGCCAGTCACAAGTTCCCTCGTTTACTTGAGTTGGAAGGAGTGACTGCTTCTGCAAATGATGCCCATCATACGAGATGCTCTGTCCTAAATGATGCCGAATTTCTTGAATGTTGTTGGACCTGCACTCATCTAGGCAAGTCGGCAGTTTTGCGTCATAGTTTTCAATTGTGTATTGTAGATGATGGACAGATTTCATGGGAGTGGGGTGGTCAGCCGGTCAGTTATTCGCTGCCTATGCCTGGTCTCTGTTTTAGATTAGCTTTCATTTCTCGTCAATGTTCTCTTGCAGCTGCAGCATTAATCTTGCTAGTCAATTTCAGATTCGTCCATTCATTACCATCAGAATTTTGATAGTTGGGAATTCAACAATGCTAACGATGATGAACTTTAAAGGATGATAATTAAATTATATATTTTGGGACAGATTTGCACTGTATCATGCATGGTGGCACGAATGTCCTTTGTCATCGAATATAGCTGAATACACAATTGTATTGTGCAAAATTTGTCAGTATTGTTCTATGCACAAAACGCAGGACAAATCCAATCCTATAAACTACGTGATCCGTGTTCTATCACAGTGATGGAAGCCATCGTCAACAGTGCAATAAACCAGAACAAGGAAAATAATAACCTACTAACTGATCTGAAATTTGGGTTATGCCATTTCCACTCAGCTGCTGACTGCTTTACAGTCTTGGTCCAAATAAGGATAAAAGAGCTAGACTCCAGAGGTCATTTTGACATCAAATGACATTTAACCAAGCATAATGCAATAAGACTTACTTAACCTCCAATAGTTACAGTGATACCTCTCAATAATAAATACAATACTGGATTTCTAAGCCCATCCATCTCAGGGACAGGAAATCACCACAGGCTTTCATTGGGGTAGTCTTCAATGTCAAGATCTGTTCTTCTGCTTCTTCAAGGATCTTCACTCCATTACATTGTTAGAAGTGTTGATGCTCTTGGATGATTACACAATGTCCAGCATCATTATTGACCACACGGTTAAGAAAGCAGTGAATCTTGTCTGCAGCAAGATCTGGATGACATTCACGTTTGCAATATTAAGTGAAAATAGCAAGCCTGCTACGTAAGATCCTGGATGTGATTATCGTTAATGAGAGGGAATTTAAATATTGCCTCTTGATAACCAATGATTACCACGACTATCCATATCCCGGGTTAACATTTACAAGACATTTTAATAGACTGGCCAAATAAATACCATGGCTAAAAGAGCACGTCATGATGCTTGTAATTATTTGGGGATAAACTCATTTGTTTTCCTCAAAATTTCTGCATACCAGTCATCATTTACAAGGAAAAAGTCAATAATATGATGGAAAATACCCGACTTGGATGATGAGTTCAGTTCCAGCAGGACTCACGAAGCTTGACACAATCAAATATGAGGAATCTATGTGTTTGTTTCCTATTTACTATCGTTGATATTCACTAAAATCCCTACCGATGCACTTTAGGAGCAGAGTGTTCCATGTACAAAATACAAACCACAAAGTCTCCTCGAACAACACCTTCCACTCCTGCCAGCTCCACTATTTAGAAGGACTCGATCAGCTACACATATGAGCAAGAGCACATCTAATTTCTCCTCCAAGTCACAGATAATCCTGAATTCAAAACTTTCGCGGTTTCTTCACTGTCGCTTGGTCAGAAAACATGAAACTCTGCTCCGAACAGCTCTTCGGATGCCCTATGAACTTCAAGAAGGGAGCTCACCCTACCATTTCCTCTATAGAAGTAATTGCTGGCCAAACCAGTAACAACCGCATCCCCGAAAGAACAGCAAAACATAAAAACAAAAACAAAGTTGCACGAAAAGCTCAGCAGGTCTGGCAGCATCTATGAAGGAAAGAAAAAAAAACACAAACTTAATGTTTACTCTATTTTTTACATCACAGATGCTGTCGGACCTGCTGAGCTTGTCCAGCAACTTTGTTGTTGTTCCTGATTTTTAGCATCCACAGTTCTTTCGGATTTAATTTAGTAAAAAGTAAAAACATTGTTATGCCATTATTGATTCTTCACTTGACTTTGTCTTCTTAATATGTCGTCAAAAGTTATATTTCGTTATATTACTCTAGCTTCTGCGCCTCTTTACATTGCACTAGCACGTTGTCTGTCTACATTTTGTTTCCTGTCGTTATCATTGTGAGGTTATGCCTTGTATCTTTAATTTATGTGTGTTTAACATGAATGGTGTGGGAATGTCCTCTGTCCCATCGATGTAACTTCTGTTATGTAAGTATTTTAACAGAATGTGACCACCACTGTCATCATCATCCTCACTTCCTCTAGTGCAATCACATTGTTTTTCCTCTGGCCTCATAGTTAACGATATTCCTTCATTATGTCGTAGAAGCAAAATCCCTCAGAGTGAGCCCAAAGTTGATTTACCAAAGTATAAGCATACCATATTCAAAACTGCAAGGATCAACATAGGACATCAAAAAACTCGACAGTCGCCTCACAAGAACTTCCCAACGTTTTGCTATCTCCTAAATAGAAAGTAGCAATAGAATCTATTTGCTAAAAGAACTCGAAATATCTGGGGAACCTAATTGGGTCCCTGTAGATTTTGTGCAAGTATAAATTGGCGCATCTCTGAGCCTGTCACAGGCAATCTCTGAGACTGACAATCAATAACAGAATCGCTTCATATAAAAAAAAACATGCACGGGAGAATAACTGGTCTAGTTTATGCAATTTATTATCCGATTCTTGCTGCCATTGGAATCACAGGTGAGTCATTGTACTGAATAATTAACTGTGGAAATCGTTGTTTTATGAAGCTAGTGCGATCAATTACAATTTTAAAAAATCATAATAATCCAGAGATATCTATGGCAATGAGATCTGCTCAGGAAAATTTCAACACCTATTCTGCCAATTAAAACGTTTTAAAATTGGGGATGATAATAACCCTTCACTAATTGAAACGAACGTTGGACATTTGGCCAGTTATTCAAAATCTAGAGGTTTTGCACAGGAAAAATATACGATAGCATGGATCTTCAATGAAATGGAAACATGTGGTTTAGTTCCTAGATTGTTATTTCAGAGGGATTTGACATGAGTTCAAATTGCACAAATATTAGTTGTCTTTTTTTCAAATAAATAACTCTGAAACTGAAGCCTCATATCAGTATCAATGGTAATCTTGAATTATAGATTATCTGAAAATAAAACTCCACTTGGAAATCTACTTCAGTCGCCTGAGGTGTGGTGACCCTCAGGTTAAACTACCACCAGTCATCTCTCTATTGAATGTGCAGCCTGATGATCCTCTGGAATTATGGGGAATTTACCTTTCCTTTTGCTTCAGTATATGCTCTGGTAGTTGAATCTGCATGTCCCTCTGACTTAAATGTAAAAAAAAAAATCGGTTCACCACCATTTTCTGATGGGCAAAAATTGTGAGCCAAATAAGTTTGCCCTTCAATGATGACCATTTCCCACATATGAATAAATAAAATGTACTTTTGAGTTAATGGCACCAAGAATGTGAAAGTAACTGAACAGATAAATCGATGCTCATGAACCTTGAATCTGACTTGATTCTGGTCTTACCTTGTGGTCTTTAAAGTCTGATTATAGGTTACTTGAAGAAAACATGATATACCAAGTCTGTTAGCTTTAGATAAAATATGCAATTTACCTTATGTGTGTCAGCATTAAAACTTACCCTCGAATATGTATCAGAATCATCTCATGATAATTATATTAAAGGCAATACATAAGTGCAAATTGGCACTTCTATTAGCGTAATGAAGTTGTCACTGGAATTGCAAAAAAAAAAAAAAAAGCCTCAGTTTCCTTCCAGAATCGATGCCATAACATAAAACTTTACAGATTCATACGTCTGGTAAATAGCTTACTTTTTCTTTGCCAATTTCAGCAAATTTGTTGGCGATTGTGATCCTCTCCCGAGGAAGATGTGGTCTCCTTGGATGCATCACTCGGTATCTGGTGTCCATGGCAGGGGCGGATCTCCTGGTAGTTATCAGTGCTGTCATATTCAATCGGATTACTGGCATTTATTTCCCAGTTAGTTTTATGTCCATGACTCCAGCCTGTACTATCAGTACTGTGATCATCTATGCAGCCACAGAAAGTTCAGTCTGGTTAACTGTTGCTTTCACCGTTGATCGATTTATAGCCATTTGTTGCCAGAATCTGAAAGCACAATTTTGCACAGATAGAACAGCGGCTGTGGTCATAGGATTAGTCGGTTTGTTGAGCTGCTTAAAAAGTATTCCCTGGTACTTTATGTATGAACCACTTTACATAATTAACAACGTGCCATGGTTTTGTAATGTAAAATCAAGCTTCTATACTTCAGTAGCATGGACAGCCTATGATTGGTTTGCACGTGTTTTAAATCCGGGTCTGCCTTTCCTCCTGATTTTACTGCTCAATGCTCTGACTGTTAGACACATCCTTGCAGCCAGTAGAGCCCGCAGGCGGGTACGGGCCAATAGTAGCAGTAGAGAAAATCAGAGTGACCCAGAGATGGAGAGCCGGAGAAAGTCCATTGTTTTACTCTTCACCATCTCAGGAAGCTTCATTCTCTTGTGGATGACGTATGTTGTAGATTTCCTCTATGTGAAAATTACAAATGAATCTTATTTCTCAGGTTCCAATTTCAATGAGCCAAGATTCATTCGGCAAGAAAGTGGAAACATGCTTCAGCTCTTGAGCTGTTGCACCAACACTTGTATTTATGCCGTCACTCAGAGAAAATTCAGAGAGGATTTGAAGAATGCAGCAAACTATACTTGGAAACGAATTGTTAAGATAATGCATTAGAAAAACTATTGGTGTTTGTTTCAAGTATGTGCGGAATTGTACTTTATTGCTATTACATTCTTAACCCTGTTGACGCAGGTTAAATAACGCTTGGAAGGCGAGGGGAAAACATGATGCTACATTTTTCACTCCTTTTCACTGATGTGGCAAGAACAAAATCATAATCGATGGGGGGAAAAACGCAGCTAGTTTGTGTTTGGAAGTTTGTGCAATAATCCCTTCAATTCTGTCTCCATCCACCTTTTGAGGTGCACTCTTAATAGAGTGATAGAAAAGAGCAGGAGAATATGATTCGGTACATCCAGCCTTTTGATATGAAAATGACCCATCTTCTTTACAGTCTATGAGTTTCTATCTTGGACGTTTTGAATAAATGAGTGGCCACAGTTTACTGATGTAGAGACTTCCAGAGTCAAAATTTTGGCTGAAGAAATTTCACTCCATCTAATTTCAAATAATATTTTCCTGTAACTGTGATACTTATTTGCGTACCTTGCAGGCAGGAAGTCAGCTTCGTAGTGTCTACGTTGCAAAGCTCGATAGAATATTTGTACATGGAATTGCCTTGTGATTAAACTGCCTGTGGATGTCAACAGGAAAATTGCTCGGTGCAAAATAGTAATCATCTTGCGTTTACATGATGCAGGGGAAATTTCTCATTTAAGAGCCAAAGGTTGGATGCCTAGCTTTGAAAGTTCAGAAACTGCAGGCTCGTTCAACCTCATATGTACCTTGACTCTGTGGGCACCACATTTGTTTTACAACGCTTTTACCCATGTCGAATTCCGTATTTCAAAATAAAATGTAATTTGATCTACTACAATTGTCTCCAGTTGTCAGTGGTCAGATAGTTGAATTCACTCCATCTGATAATTAAAAAGAAATGCAGTGTACACAAAATACACAGAAGTCTAATCCATGACTGGTGTGCTACTGTCCTCTGCTGCAGAACCTGCTACAGCTCAAATGAATGTGACACAGTAAAACTAACACTCGCTTTTGGCATAAAGCAGTGAACCTTCACAGGTATCTCTTGTCAACAGAAAGAATGAAATATGAAGCTGTCCAAATAGTATCCACTCGTTCCCTTACCTTTCAAGAGTAAAATTACAGAATGATTGTAGATTGATCCATGAAGTGACACTTATTGCTTTCTAACCTGTTTACCCATTCTCAGCCACGGTCTTGCTGGAATCATCTCGTTCTAAATTTATTGGCGTTTTGTTAGAAAGGCGTGTGAAAGAAATTATTTATCAGAGATAGAGAGAAAGGTACGGCCCACAGTAGAGGTGATTGCTCTTAAGCCAATGCAATCTTTGCTCCCACGTGTCAGCAAACTTCAGTGGAGGCCAGGAGGCAAGTAATCTAGTGGTGTGAATTGTACTAGCCACTAATTAAGATTATGCTTCTACTATTTTTAGCCAATTATCTTAGCTCCCAGAATGTCACTGCAAAGGGCTTCAGGTTGTTGACATCCACCTTCAAATTATATTTTAAGTGGGAACGTTAAAGCTAGGCATCCAACCTTTGGCTCTTAAATGAGAAATTTCCCCTGCATCATGTAAACGCGAGATGATTACTATTTTGCACCGAGCAATTTTCCTGTTGACATCCACAGGCTGTTTAATCACAAGGCATCCCACAATCTGTATGCTAGATGTTACCTTTGACAAAAGATTAATGTGAATTACGCACGTGAATGCAAAATCGTCTAGGCCAAAGCATAAGTTGCACTGATACCGCAAATCTTTTCACTCCACTTACGACCGACTAGTCAGGACTGTGTTGGAATACTCCCTATTATCTTCAATCGTGTAGGTCTAACTTAACAAATTCCATACACCCATGACAAAGCTATCCAGCTATTTATGACCCCTTTAGTTCCCTCCAGTCTCTGGCGACTTGAACATAATGCGCACCATCGATAGATTGAAGTTGAACGTACTTTCACGTCTTCTTCACCAGCTCCTTCCAAACAGAACACTTTCGAAAGAAAATGGCAGGAACGGCATGGGAGAAACAGGACATGAATGTGTTTTCCTCAAGGTCACAATCACTCTCGACATGAACACCATCTACCTTTCCTTCTTCATCACTGGCTCGAATTTCTGTAACTCAGCAATTATGGGCTCTCGTCGTATCTACATCACACGAATTTTAATGCTTGAATCAGAAAGATCATAACCATTTTTATGAAGAGCTACAATAAAGTCGAAATGATTGTTGGCTTTCCAAAAATGCTGAAATGCCCAGAGTGAAGTAATGCAATTTTCCCATGCACTGTGTGACTGTCTGCTTCCTGTTCTTCCATACAGCGTTCTCCTGAAGAGATGGTTCCCGTCTTCTATCTAAAAAAAATGTGTACATTCTTCCTTTGATTCCTATTATTATTGCCTCACACTTTAATGAATCACTGCAGTCCGTGGTGTAGCTATATTGAAAATGATGTTAGGCAATGAGGTTGCAGAATTTTAACTCACCACGACTGAAGAAATGATTTGCATAACTCGAAGTCAGGAAGGTGAAGGAGGACATGCACAAAACATTGCCTTGCATTGGCTTCTCTCCACCATCTAGGGAGAACGTTGTAAGTTGGAAGGTACTGATGAAAAGACTTCCCTGAGTCTTTGCAAGACATGTCGTAGATGGTAAAGTTTGTTGCTTCATGGTGTCGACTGGCTAGGTGCTAGGTGTTAAATGTGGTGGACCAGAGACCCTTCGACTACAGCTTTAACGTGGACGGTTTTGAGATTTTTAGGCGTAGTTCAATTTGCACTCAATCAGATAAGTGGACAAAAATCCATTGTGTGCCTGACCTTTGCCTTTTTGCTAATGGATAGGCTTCGGGATATTGAGATTCAATGTAGAATTTCCAAAATGCTGTATAATTATACATTATGTAGAATTAGGATATCAGAAAAAAGAAGGTGGGGGGAGATGTCGAATTTGCATGGGTCTCCCACGCCCGAGCAGAAGCATACACTGTGCTCTCATCCTTCAATGCTAACCTTGAAAGAATGGTTCTTGCACCTTTATCTAAAGTGGCAAAAAGTTCGATGTTCATCGAAGGCAGTTGCTTTCATTAGAATGCGTCTTTTCAAATCGATTTTGAGGTTTTCTTTCTGAGCACTGGACACACCTGCTAAAGGCAGGGTCAGGATTCACATAAGTCACATTTTCACGGTATCTCACTGTAGTGTTCTTTGGATCTTGAAGCACAGACTCCATGCCATTGTCGGGTTAAGTAGGCTCTGAATATTGATGCCAAAAAGATGAAAAGCAGCATCCTACAGGATAAACGTCTCACCGACAATAGAGTGTCTGGCCAGTAGCAACGGTAACATAAACCTTGGTTTTCATGATAATAGGACGTAAGCCCCATCACCATCTCAGCTTTGCTAACAGAGGAGTTACATCAGACAATCATTTGCAATGTGCTCTTGACCGTCCATCTCTGCACGCTATGAGTGGAAATGTCAGTTTTGACAACATATAGAGCGGTTTTCTAAACGACATCACAGTTCCAATGTTAGTATGGTACCATGATTCCACACAACGTCATTTAACTGGATTGTCGTTATCATTTTGTGGAATCTGCTGTGCGCAAACTAGCTGCCTCTTTTCCTACATGACGACAGTGAGTACATATCAAAGACTTCTGTGGCTGTAAAGTGTCTTATGGTAGCTTGATACCACGAAAGGCTTAATGGAAATTAAAGTTTTCACTTCTTCATTTTCTACCAGAGAGACAGGGAGAGAGAGAGAGAGAGAGATGGAAAATCGAAGCCTAAATATGGGATTAAAAGTGTTATTCTGAATGGCGTGTTACCCGTCATGTCAAAAATAAAACAATAAAATAAAACAAAGAACTGCAAATGCTGAAGATCTGAAACAAAAAACATACATAAATTGCCAGAGAATCTCAGCAGCCACCATCTATGAAAAGAAAGCAGAATTATCTTTTTAAGCCCTGTGAATCTTCTTCAGAACCAATTCCGATCTGCCCTTTGAAACGGACCGACTCGTTCGTCACTGGCAGATAACTCACAAACACCTGCTTAAAGTGAGATTAAGTGCGGTAATAAATGTTGACATTGTCAGTGGTGCTGACACACCATGAAAAGGTTTTAATAAATCTCTGTTTCAGCTTCATCTTGATCAACATATCTCATTCTGGGCGCGACAGTATGAAAGGGGATGTTAGGATTCGAAACGGGGCACAGGAGATTACAACAGAATAAAAGACACTCATTATCTGTCCAATAGAGAATTTGGAGAAACAAAGATCGTCCTCATTTGACCAAGTCGATTTACAAGCGATGCAATAATATTGGATAAAATTGTGATGTATTTTGTGCAGCAATGAGGGACGAGGTCCTTCCACTGGCAGAGAAAAAAAAATCCTCAATGCGAAGTCCGTGATGGAAGACAATCAGGAAGAAATTGAGAGGGAAGAAAAAGGTATCTTTCTTTTTCAACATATCGGTTATAAAGAACAATACAGCATAGGAACAGGCTCTGCGGCCCTTCAAACCTGCGTCGACTCATTCTCCCCTAACATACTAAAACTGTTTTCATTTATAGAATTCGTATCCCTCTATTCCCTTTCTATTCATGTATTCGTCCAGGTGTCTCTTGGATGTTGCTATTGTGTCTGCTTCACCACCTCCTTTGGTAGCGCATGCCAGTCACTCCTCACTCTTTGTGTGGGAAAAACTTGCCTCACACATCTCTCTTAAACAACCCCCTCCCTCCCACAACATGAACCTGCGTCCCGTAGTAATTGAGCCCTCTATCCTGGGAAAAAGCCTCATACTTTTCACTCTATAAATGCCATTCACAATCATACATGATGTGATATGGAATTCTCTGTTAGAAAATGTGGTAGAAACAGAATCAAAGGCACCTAACACAAAGCTATTGCATTAGAAACTGATTGAATAAATACATTGCTGGGCTTCAGGGTAAATCACTGGACAATGAGAATGATGTCTGGATCT